GTAAAGGAACTGAACATGGTAGTAGTATTATTAATAAGAGTACTACGACTGGTAGCAGCAGCAACAGAAATAGTACTAGTAGCAGAAAGCGTAGCCGTAGCAGCAGAAGGACTAGCAAGAGTGGTAGTAGTAGTAGTAGCCAAAGTAGTGATAGCAGCCGCAGTGGTGGAAGTAGTAGTAGTCGTCGTAGCCGTAGTAGTAGTAGTAGCAGTAGCAGTAGTAGTAGTAGTAGTAGTAGTAGTAGTTGTTGTTGTAGTGGTAGTAGTAGTAGTAGTATTGGTAGTAGTAGTAGTAGTAGTAGTAGTAGTAGTAGTAGTAGTAGTAGTAGTAGTAGTAGTAGTAGTAGTAGTAGTAGTAGTAGTAGTAGTAGTAGTAGTAGTAGTAGTAGTAGTAGTAGTAGTAGTAGTAATAGTAGTAGTAGTAGTAGTAGTAGTAGTAGTAGTAGTAGTAGTAGTAGTAGTAGTAGTAGTAGTAGTAGTAGTAGTAGTAGTAGTAGTAGTAGTAGTAGTTAGTAGTCGTAGTAGTAGTAGTAGTAGTAGTAGTAGTAGTAGTAGTAGTAGTAGTAGTAGTAGTAGTAGTAGTAGTAGTAGTAGTAGTAGTAGTAGTAGTAGTAGTAGTAGTAGTAGTAGTAGTAGTAGTAGTAGTAGTAGTAGTAGTAGTAGTAGTAGTAGTAGTAGTAGTAGTAGTAGTAGTAGTAGTAGTAGTAGTAGTAGTAGTAGTAGCAGCAGTAGTAGTAGTAGTAGTAGTAGTAATAATAGTAGTAGTAGTCGTACTAGTAGTACGGGTGCACATGGTCTTCGTGTCGCTACAAACCTCACCTTCGTGTACTCCTCTTTTGTATCAGGCCGAATAGAACTCCTATACGGGGAATTACGAAAACCGTAGTTTCAAACCTGGCCTTCGTGTCTTTCTGGCCAATGCCTGCATTCGTGCATTATTCGCTGTAGAGGTTGTACATTGGATTTGCATTAGAAAGTAAACAAAAACGGCAACTTTACAACCGGTCCTCCGTGTCGACGTCGTTTTTGCAGCAACCGCCACTGCCAGCCGCTTCATTTCGGCACAACCCTCTCGCGGATCGTGGGCCTGGCCCTCCGACGCGCGATTCCGGCGCGCACTTCACTACGATCGTGGCCCTGGTCCAATTGGAGCGCTGCCAAAGGCCCACCGACGTCCAATTCCGGCACGCCGCTCACGAGGATCGTGTCCTGGCCCACCTGGGAGCGCTGCCGACGGCCCACCGATGAGCAATATCGGCGCACCCCTCACACGGATCGTAGACCTCGCCACATTTGGATCGCCGCCCGACGCTGAAGTTCGGCACACCTCTCACATGGATCGTGGCCCTGGCCCACTGTGGAGCGCTGCCGACGGCCCACCGACGCCCAATGCGGGAACACCCCTCACGAGGATCGTGGCCCTCTGGTCCACTTGAGAGTGGGTTTTCATAAGGACGTCGTTCTGGTTTAATTCGGGAGCGCATTCTGGTTGTATTCGTTTCTGGTTCCTGATGGTTAGGAGGACGAGGAAGAAGAGGAGGAGGAGGAGGAGGAAGGGAGGAGGAGGAGGACAGGGAGGAGGAGGACGAGACGAGCGAACGGCGAAATTGTGGGTTTCCGAACCCCTTCTTCGTGTACTATTAGAATCAGTGGGCGTCCGAACCTCATCTTCGTGTACTATTAGGTCTATAGCCCCTGTATTGTTTTCCTATCTGCAAATGGCGAAATTGTGGGTGTCCGAACTTCAGCTGCGCGTGCGATTGAAATCCGACTATTCTATGTTATTCTATTTGGTTTTATAGGACTGTGTCGAACCCGAACCCGAACCCGAACCCAAACTCTAACCCTTACCCTAGTAGACACGAGGGTGAAGTTTGACCCTGGTAGTAGTAGTAGCAGCAGTAGTAGGAGTAGTAGTAGTAGCAGCAGCAGCAGTAGTAGTAGTAGTAGTAGTAGTAGTAGTGGTAGTGGTAGTGGTAGTGGTAGTGGTAGTAGTAGTAGTAGTAGTAGTAGTAGTAGTAGTAGTAGTAGTAGTAGTAGTAGTAGTAGTAGTAGTAGTAGTAGTAGTAGTAGTAGTAGTAGTAGTAGTAGTAGTAGTAGTAGTAGTAGTAGTAGTAGTAGTAGTAGTAGTATTAGTAGTAGTCGTCGCAGTAATACCCGCTGAAATCTTAATCTGAACAGTAGCAGGGTAGCAGTAGGTGGTAGAAGTGCGCGTAGTAGTAGCAGCAACAAAGATGATAATCATCGGCGTCGTAGCAATAGAAAAAGCCGTCGTAATGGTAGTCGTAGGTCATGTGAACACCCGTAACGTAATCGCAGTAGTAGCAATCGTACGTGTAGTGATAGTGGTAGCAGCAATGATAATAATAGTGGTGGTTGTAGAAGCAATTGCGCTCGCAGTCGTTGTAGTAGCAGTCGCAGGCGCAATCGTAGACGTAGCAGTCGCCGTAGTAGTAAGGAGTCGTACTGAGGATCGTAGTAAAAAATCGCCGTGCTACTACTGGCAGTAGTAGTAGTAGCAGTAGCAGTAGCAGTAGCAGTAGTAGTAGTAGTAGTAGTAGTAGTAGTAGTAGTAGTAGTACTAGTAGTAGTAGTAGTAGTAGTAGTAGTAGTAGTGGTAGTAGTAGTAGTAGTAGTAGTAGTAGTAGTAGTACTAGTCGTAGTCGTAGTAGTAGTAGTAGTAGTAGTAGTAGCAGGAGTAGTCGTAGCAGCAGCGAGCGAAGCCGCATCAACAGAAATAAACTAGCAGGGGTGGTAGTAGTAGTCGACGTAGTAGTAGCAGCAGGAGTAGCAGAAGTCGTTGTAGTAGTAGTACGAGTGGCAAAGATAGCAGGGGTAACAACAATGGTCGTGGTAGTCGTAGTAGTAGTAGTAGTAATCATAAAAAGGTCGTCGTCATCGCAGTAGTAGTCGCCGAAGTGAAAATATCAGCAGTAATAGTAACAGCAGTGGTAGTGGTACCAGTAGTAGTTGAAGTGCACGTAGTAGCTAGAAGCAGCAGCAGCAGAAATAACCATCGGCGTAATTGAAGTAGTCGTAGTAATTGCAGTAATCGTAGCAGCAATAGTAATAGTAGTCGTCGAAGTCCTGATCATACCCGTCGTCGTAGTAGTCGTAGAAGTCTAGTAGTAGTAGCAATAGAAATAATAGTATTCGTAGTATTGGTTGTAGTCGTAGCCAAAGCAATAATTATAGTGGCAGAACGACTAGCAGGAGTAGTGTTATGAGTAGCCATACTACTACAAGTAAACACATGATAACATTGGTAATAGTCGTAGTTGTACGAATAAGATTGGACGTACGGGTAGCAGAAGTCACCGTAATAACAGTAGTAGTAGTAGTCGTAGTAACAGACGTGGTCGTACTAGTCGTAGAAGAAGTACAAGTGTACGTAATACAAGTAGTAGTCGCGGTAGTAGTAGCAGTAGCAGTGGAACAGTAGTAGTGGTGGTAGTAGTGCAGTGGTAGCAGTATCCATGGGAGAAGTAGCAGGAATAGTAGTAGTAGCAGTCGTAGTAGTAGTAGTAGTCGTCGTCGTCGTCGTCGTCGTCGTAGTAGTAGTAGTAGTAGTAGTAGTAGTAGTAGTAGTAGTAGTAGTAGTAGTAGTAGTAGTAGTAGTAGTAGTAGTAGTAGTAGTAGTAGTAGTAGTAGTAGTAGTAGTAGTAGTAGTAGTAGTAGTAGTAGTAGTAGTAGTAGTAGTAGTAGTAGTAGTAGTAGTAGTAGTAGTAGTAGTAGTAGTAGTAGTAGTAGTAGTAGTAGTAGTAGTAGTAGTAGTAGTAGTAGTAGTAGTAGTTAGTAGTAGTAGTAGTAGTAGTAGTAGTAGTAGTAGTAGTAGTAGTAGTAGTAGTAGTAGTAGTAGTAGTAGTAGTAGTAGTAGTAGTAGTAGTAGTAGTAGTAGTAGTAGTAGTAATAGTAGTAGTAGTAGTAGTAGCAGCAGCAGCAGCAGCAGCCAGCAGCAGCAGCAGGCAGCAGCAGCAGCAGCAGCAGCAGCAGCAGCAGCAGCGCAGTAGCAGCAGCAGTAGCAGCAGCAGCAGCAGCAGCAGCAGCAGCAGCAGCAGCAGCAGCAGCAGCAGTAGTAGTAGTAGTAGTAGTAGTAGTTAGTAGTAGTAGTAGTAGTAGTAGTAGTAGTAGTAGTAGTAGTAGTAGTAGTAGTAGTTAGTAGTAGTAGTAGTAGTTAGTAGTAGTAGTGTAGTAGTAGTAGTAGTAGTAGTAGGTAGTAGTAGTAGTAGTAGTAGTAGTAGTAGTAGTAGTAGTAGTAGTAGTAGTAGTAGTAGTAGTAGTAGTAGTAGTAGTAGTTAGTAGTAGTAGTAGTAGTAGTAGTAGTAGTGTAGTAGTAGTAGTAGTAGTAGTAGTAGTAGTAGTAGTAGTAGTAGTAGTAGTAGTAGTAGTAGTAGTAGTAGTAGTAGTAGTAGTAGTAGTAGTAGTTAGTAGTAGTAGTAGTACGTAGTAGTAGTAGTAGTAGTAGTAGTTAGTAGTAGTAGTAGTAGTAGTAGTAGTAGTATAGTAGTAGTAGTAGTAGTAGTAGTAGTAGTAGTAGTAGTAGTAGTAGTAGTAGTAGTAGTAGTAGTAGTAGTAGTAGTAGTAGTAGTAGTAGTAGTAGTAGTAGTAGTAGTAGTAGTAGTAGTAGTAGTCGTAGTAGTAGTAGTAGTAGTAGCACCAATAGTAGTAGTAGTAGTAGTAGTAGTAGTAGTAGTAGTAGTAGTCGTAGAAGTAGTAGTAGTAGTAGTCGTAGTAGTAGTAGTAGTAGTAGTAGCACCAATAGTAATAGTAGTAGTAGTAGTAGTAGTAGTAGTAGTAAGAACAAACAACGGTTGTAGTAGAAGTAGTAACAATATGGATCCTAACGTTGGTAATGATAGGGGAGGTGGTACTAGGAGGAGGAGGAGGAGGAGGTGTGAGGAACAGATATACTCATCGCCGGGTGACACATGGGGGAAAACCAATACTAAAGACTTACGGAGGTTACGCCCTCGTCCGCCTCCGACTCTGGCGCCCGGGGGCCTTGTTCGTTGCGACGAAGGCCACCGTCTGCAGCAGCGGCGCCACGCCTGGACCTCTGCGCGCCTCCGCCAGCCCGAGCCACGCGCACAGGGCGGCCTGCGGCAACAGCGCGAAACGCGCCAGGTTGGGGAGGCCAACCTCGCGGGCGGCCGCGGGCCAAGACCCCCCCCCCTCCTCATCCTCCTCGATGTACTGTCCTCACCGTCCACCCTCTCCCGCAACTTCGTTCCTCGCCACCCTTCCGACTCTAATTCCTGCCATCCCTCCTCCTCCTCCTCGGCCTCGTCGTGCTCTTGCTCCTCCTCTTGCCCCTCCTCCTCCTCCTCGTCCTCCTTATCCTCCTCTTCCTTCTCCAAGTTCTCCTCATCCACATCCTACTCATCCTGCTCCTCCCCTCTCCTCCCCGATCCCCTTCCACGATCTCCTCCTCCTTCTCCCTCGAACGCCCTCCTTCTTCTCGCGCGCATCGACGTAGGGTGCCGCTGCTGCGTCGGATAATTCCAACGCCCATCGCGGCCTGCCACGTCGAGCACACGCCGACGCTGCCGCCGCGCTCGTGGCGATGGCGGGGGCGCCAAGGTGCGCTGGTGGAGGCGCAGGCCGTGGCGCCCACGGCACCACCCGCGCCTACGAACCACCACGTGCGGGACGACCGCTCGCTCTGGGGGCCGTGCATCCGTTCCACCGCGGACTCCTCCGCCGGCATCCTCGCCGAGATCGACGCCTTCGGTTCCGTGCCTGCTGCCGCCGCCGCGCGGGCCGCCGCCACCGCCACCCACAGACGTTAGCAGGGTGCGGCCCGCTCCGCACAGTGCCGCTGCTTGCGTTGGTGGACTAGAGGAAGAACACCATAAACATATCTTTTGGCGCTCCGCGCGGACTTCTTGGATCTGCGCTGGATCCCCCTCCCTGGCGCGCGGAGGGCGCCAGGTGCGGATCCAAGAAATCCGCGCGGAGCGCCAAAAGTTTCTATTTATGGCATTGCCTTCTCTTCGAAGGGTGCGGCCCGCTCCTCGCAGTGCCGCTTCTCGCGTGGCTCAACTGCGTGTCCGCAGAGGTGGTGGCAAGCGGGCCACGGCGGAGGCTGAGCGCGTCGGCACGGGCACAGCTGCGCCAAGCCTGCTGGCGCGGAGCGGCGCGGGCCCCGGCGGCGGCTGAGCGCGTGCCCCCCCCCCCTCCTCTGCCCCTGCATGTTCTCGGGCGAGGCCTCCGAGAGGTCCTAGCCCGTTGCCGCCAGACCTGCCAGCCCGAACCGCATCCCCGCCCAGCCTGCTGCCGAGGCAGCGTGTGCCGCCGCTGGATGGCGCCGCGCTGCCGCCGCCGTCACCGGCTGAGTTCACCTTTGAGTGCACCATGCTCGTGAGCGCGCTGCTGCTTGACTACCTACCAGACCACCCCGACCCGACCCGAGGACACGAATTTCGGGATGGGTAGGGCACGGGCTTCACATATTCTTGTTTCAATGTTCCCCGACGCCCCCCCCCGCACGTGGAATGGAGGGCAAATTGGGGCCTTCGGGTTGGGTTGGGGTGGTTTGGTGGGTCGCTGGAGGTCGTCCTCTCCTTGGGGATGACAGCCACTGAGGATTGCCATGCGTTAAAAATGCTTGAAACACGTATTTTTAATGTTCAATACATGTTACATCTTTAAAACATGATTAACAAATTTCTTAGACATCTGGAAATGATTTGGCAACATGCTTCCTCTCCTGTGATCGTCGTCCACAATCCTCTCCCTCGCGCGGGCCCCCGCTGCAGGCGAGCTTGCTGGTGCTGGGCCTCCGCAGGCGCCCAAGCCCAGGCGGGCCGGCGCCTTCTCGGACCGAGCCCAGCCCCGGGCAGTACCCCTGCTAAGGCGGGTGGCAACAAAAAAAAAAAGCCAGGTTTCCTGACTGTCCAGAGTGCTAAGACAACTCGCACTCCAGACCTATTGATCTATCTGGACTGCCTCAAACCTCGAAAGGGATTTGGACGTCACCGTCCTGGTGATATTTTTTGCCCTCCTGGAAGGTCAGGGTTGAGAGGGCCGTCCAGGAGCCGCGGCCGAAGTTGGGGGGGGCTGCTGCTGTGGCTGCTGCGGCTGCTGCGGCCAAGCGCCAGGCTCAGTGGGTGGTTACATCCAAAGCATACCCCCAGCAGCCATTGATTCTCTTTCATCGATGAGATGCGGGGGTAGGGTTCGGATTTCGTCACGTGCTCGACGATTTCCGAACCTTACCCCGCCGCCCATCGAGTTGCGTGCATCGCCGATCTAGGAGATGAGGCGAAGGACAAGAAGAAGACCGGCACAAAGATAAACTTTCGGAGCCCCGCGCGGATTTCTGAGATCTGCTCTGGACCCCCCTCCCTGGCGCGCTGAGTGCGCCAGGAGCGGCGCCGGAGGCGCCGCCCAGGGGGGAGGGGGGCGAGAGCCGATCCGAGAAATCCGTGAGGGAACCCGACAATGTATGTTCATGCCTTTTATGTTTCTTCGACGGTTGGGCTAGGATTTCTCAAGTACTCGTAATAGTGACCCCAGGCAAGAATGACCTTTGGGGAACGACTTTCGGTGGCCGCGGGGAGGCCGAACCGGAGCGCGCAAGCCGCTACTGTCCCAGACCATCAAATCCACAAACAGATGTGGATCGTCACTCTCACGTAAAATCACAATAAATGTGATTAATTACTGGTTGCGAAGAAAATCAGCATTTGATTTGCGGATCATCTTTCTTGTTCGGCACTGCTTTTTTCCCCAGATTGTTTCCGGAATCGAAAGGTCCTGTTTGTTTATGGAATATTGACTGTTCAGGGAGACCTGTCCACAATGCTGTGTTGTATGCTACATCTATATATACAATATGCATGGTACCATGTACATGTACACAAGGTCTTACATATGCTGTATCGTATATATCTATACATATATACGCATATATGTATACAACCAGGCTACGTGTCGCAAAAATTGGGAGGACGTCCTACGCGAGACACCACACATAGCAGTGTTCGGGCGCCGCAGCGGTTCGGACCAAATAGGGTTCGAAGCGGGGCCATCTGAGGGAAAGACAATACTGTGTAGGTTTCTGGCTCGAGCATCTGTCGTATCACAAGAATGTCCAGCCTTGTTGAGGAGATGATGTCCAGCGATGACCCAGACCTTTATTTTATTGGCGCCACACGGACCCTCAAGGGTCCGCCCGAGTACATTGTCGAGATGCCCAACGGTAACACGATATGGGTAACTCTTGGGCATATCGAGGCGTTAACTTTCGACGAAACCACTGCACGTCACGGAAATCCCCAGGACGCAGAAATGTCAGATGTTGGTATGACTCATGTTCTCCGCTTCCGTACTGGCGACGACTCGCCAGAACCTCCCGAGCGTGACCCGACCGACGTCGACGTTGTTGTCGAGTCTCCGCCCGACGGCAACGAGCCTGCCCCGTCCGACGTCGGCGATGCGAAGTCCCCGTCTGACGACAGCGACGAGAGCATGGAGGTACAGCCTCAGACCGAGCCCAGGACCAATGGTTACATTCGATGGGCCATTTCCCTCCTTCCCTCCTCGTCTTTTGTTCCCCCTCCCGCTCCCCTGTTCCATTCGAGGTCCCGTCTTTCCATTACCCTCAACATCCTTCCCCCTGCCCTGAATATAATCATGTTGCTGAAGATGGTTCGGGTCAAGAAGTGAGTGCCAGCGAATGGCGAAGACCCCATGAGCATGACTCTTCTTGCACCTCTCTTCAAACCACAACTACAACAACATGTAAATGCTAGCTTGTACACATTTACCCATATGAAAACGGGTATCGGCGTGACCTACTCGGAGAAACTATCGCCCCTGCCACCACCGACTTTTCTCTCTAGATCTAGGGGCGCCTACTGTCTCCAGTGCGGCATCAAGAGGTCCGTGGCACACCTGTGCCAATAACGTGATCTTCAGAAGGCCTTAAGAAAGCCTGAAACAACTTTGGTGAGGCCCCTAGAGGCTCTCCAAGGAGGAGTCTCCGCAAAAAAAGGCTGAGGAGGATGGGGAGAATGCGCAGGGCATGGCGAAAATAAGGAAAAATAAACATGGAGGAAGGATAACGAATAACATTATTATAGCGGCGATGCCAGAAAAGGCAACCAGGAGTTATCCCTAAATTGTCGGCTTGACCTTCCTGCTATTCCGCCTGCATACCAAACTTCAAGGACCAAGGTGCATGGCGCGAAGCGCCACTGCAGTCTTGTATATATATATATATATATATATATGTATGGCCCTGTCCGTTAGCTGCGTGGAGTTTCTCCACACATCATCCCCGTGCCTCCACATCACCGCCTCAACCTCCACATGTCCTCATCATGCCCACGAAAACGCGCCGCCCAAGGCTGTCGCAACTCTGCATCTTCCCTCACTGCCGCGGCAACATTGGAAAACATAGAAACCTCCAGGTGCAGCGCGGTGGGGTAGAAATACACAGAGAAATTGTGCTGCGGGTCCAGCCGGTGCCTGCACGAAAAGGCGGAACGAATCCAAAATTGCGGACGTCCACACGGCCCTTCGAAGATGGGGTTCCGGGGAATGGGGCCGGACGGGATGGTATCCCAGGCTGAGATCGCATTGCTTGGGTCACCTGGTCCATTATAAAGGAACCGAAGACTGGCGCAAACATGTTAGCCAACGTGGACCCCATACAGAGTTTCTCTATTCGTATACGTTGCGCACTCTAAGTACCTATGTGGTGCAACGTACGTGGGATCTCTAATGTCCAATATACGTGGAGCAACCTATGTGGCGCAATTTCGGTGGTGCATTCTATCTTGTGCAATTCACTTTGACTGTCTTGAAGCTGTCCTCTCCACTGCTCGTGCAAACATCCCACCCTCCAACCCGCGCCTTGGTCGCAAGACCTCCTAAGATCGTGAAGGTCGGTAACAAATTGCACTTGGCAACGACACAGAAGCCGACAACGATAGCGGCAACGACGACGACGCCGACAACGACGACACCGACGACACCGACGACGACTCCGACGACTTCGACGACAACGACAATGACAACAACGACGACGACGACACCGACGACGAAGACGACGACGACGCCGACGACGACGATGACGACGCCGACAACGACGACGAACAGAACGACGACGACGACGACGACCTCGACGAAGACGACGACGGCGACGCCAACGACGACGACGACGACGACGACGACGGAGGGAGGACGACGACGGCGACAACGACGACAACGACGAGGGAGGAGGGAGGACGGCGACGATGCGAACGACGAAGAAGGAGGGAGGACGGCGACGCCGACGACGACAACGACGAGGGAGGAGGGAAGACGACGACGACGACGGCGACGAAATAGGGGGGACGACGATGAGACGCCGACGACGGGCGACGTCGAGGGAGGAGGAAGGACGACCACGGCGGCAACGACGACGGAAACGACGACGACGCCAAAGTGGACGACGACAACGAGGAAACAGAGGACGACGGCGGCGACGGCGACGACACCGACGAGGGAGGAAGGAGGACGGCGACGACGACGACGACGACGCGACGACGAGGAAAGACAGAGACCGAGGACGGCGATGACGACGACGAGAAAGGAGGGAGGACGGCGACGACGACGACGACGACGACGACGACGCAAAAGCGCGCCCGCACGCTTTTGTTGAAAACCCGTGTTGCGAAACCGTGGGTTTGCATATGTGTTTGGACACACGATGTTGAACTCCTTTTGAAACCGAAAGTTGAAACCCTTCTGAAACCGAACGTGTTTGAATGAATTCGGCATGCGCGCGCGTCGACGCGCGCGTCTGCACTTCGCTTCATGTTTTGAATTATTGCGACGGCACGCGCGCAAGGGCGTTCGAATGATTTTGACACGCGCGCGATGCCCGTTTGGTAATATTTGTTCTGGAAATATTGAAGAACTATGTGGTTCTTTTAAGTTTTCGCAGGACCGCACGCGTAAGCTTGCTCAGGGGATCAATATTGCGAGACCGAGTGCTTTTGTATGTGTTTTGGACAATCGATTTTGAAATCCTTCCGAAACCGAAACTCATTGAAGGATTTCGGCGTGCGCGCGCGACGACGCGCGCGTGCGCACTGCGCCCCATTTGTTGCAAGGGATCCTTGGAGACTTATGATCTTTGATGAACGAGAGTGCGCTCGTAGTCTTTTTTGCAGGGGATGGCTGGGGGAATGATGCGGGCTTGGCTGGGATAGTACGAATTCATAATTCGGATGGGCGATGGGGCAAAATCGTATGTAAATTGCGATGCGAAAGAGGTAGACCGTTAGTTCCGGGAGGCGGTCGATTCCATTCTTCTTGTAGAAAGGAGAACACACGTGTGGCACTCGCAATTGTCAACTCCCCGGCTCGCGGAAACATCCCACCCACCCACCCGCAACTTTTCTTGCAAAACGCATGCGATGCGATCAAGATGCGGCGACGATTGCGATGAGTTCTTGGTGTTGGCTGGTGCGTACCTGCGGCCGCGCTAGCCCGCGCCTGTTCGCGCGCGCAGCGGCCAGCTAACTTGACGCGGCCGCGGTGGCGGTGACCTCTGGGCACTTCCCAGCGGGCACTGCAATGCGAGTCGGCAACTTGGGCGGGCGCGGTACCATGGCAACGTCGGCAACGGTAGACTCGATGATGATACTTGCGGCGCGGGTGACGATGATGACAACGGCGACGGTTCGGCGAGTGATGTCGCCGATGCTGATCACGCCGCCGACGACGACGGCGCCCTCGCGTCGGTGATGCAGGCCCTGAAACGAGCTCGGCATGGACAACCCGCGCGCAACGGCGTTCGAATGATGCCGACATGCGGCGCGAAAGGCCCGCTTGGCAGAATGTACAGAAAATTGCGACAAACCGGTCATTTCTTGGATGATTCGCAAGAGCGCAAGCACTTTTTTTTGAAAACTGATGTTGCAATACCATGTGTTGCTATATGTTTCCGGGCCACTCGAATTTCAATTCTGGACGAAAGTCAACGCGTTTAAAAGATGTCGGCATGCGCGCGCGACGACGCGCGGGCGCGCACTTCGCCCCGTCGCCTGCAAGAGGGTTTTTGCGACAGCATGCGCGCAAGGGAATTTTTACGACTTCGACATGCGCGCGTAGCGCGGTGTGCAAATGTTGACATGCAGTTTTTGGGGCGCTGCGATGGCCGCGCTAGCTCCGACGAGGGCTCCGCGCCGACCTCCAGCTCAGAAGATGAAAAACTCGGTTGCCGCGCACTTAGGCTGACACGGCAGACTCGGCTCACATCCCGGCCCACCAACGCAACCCAACCATCCCACAACGCAACGCCGCGCCGGCCGTCGCGCTCGGGCAGCTCACGACTGATAGGCTGCCATTCATAATGTTTTGTGTGCCTTTCTTTAGCTCTAGACTGCGGCGGCGGTGCCTCCTTCCTTCGCTTCGTTGCCGTCTGCTGCCAGCGCATTTTCCTTCTTGGAGTCCTGCATCACCTTGTTCCACTTGTCGGTGGTGAGAATGCGCACCCCTCAGGGGGATTCGCGCAAACAGCGATCGCTGGACTCCAATTCCAGCATTAGCACGTGGCCGGATACTGCCTGGCATTCCGTCGCTTCTGCCTTCGGCGACAAGTCTGCCAGAGACGGAAGGATGGCTGCCACTGCTCCCGTGTAGAACTTTTGGCCCCACTCGGGATGCTGCCAGGCCTGCGTCAGCTCGTCGATCTTGGGGGGATCGCGGGGGCCACCCTCGGCCGTCAGCCCGTATTCGAATTTGAAGCGGTGCCCATTCTTTTCCATTTCTTGGTGGAGCGCCATCAAGAACGCGGCCTGGGCAGGGCTCGCCGATGAATAGCGGAACTTGTTCGCTTCGCATATCGCACGCGTGAATGTTTGGAAACGTCGTGCGTTCGGGGTTAAACGCCCCCTCAACCTCGAGGAAAGTCGCGCGGCGTGCTCCAGAGGGAAGTTTTTGACCGAGGGGCCCTTCAGCGGATCATAAGGCTCTTTAGCAACGCGGAGGCGCACCGTCTTCATCGGGCGCCAATCAGGCATCCCGCAAACCTGGCTGATCCAGAAGAGCATGACGGTGAGCGCAAGCGGCGTAAGAGCCTTCTGGCGCGCGCGGCTTAAGAAATCGAGGCTACTCTCGAAGGCTCCCTTGATGACGCGGATGCGCGTCGGGATCTCAAATGCACTTGACGGGTTCCCGGCCTCATAACCTTGTACACGCAAGAGGATGTTCATAATCTCCCTGAGCAGCTGCCGATTTCTCTTAGCTTTGCCGCACGTCGTGCTTATATCCGCCCAGTCGTCAAACGCCTCCTCGGACGGCTCCAGGCCTGGTACCTCCTCCCCTTCCAAGTCCGTGCAGCTCAGCGCGCCCACGCCAAGACCAGACCACGCAAGAGGTACACCCAGTCCCGCCGGGAGGACCTGAGCGCTCCTCAGGTCCTTGATGACATCGCGCGTAGGCACGACCGAATACGCCTCCTTCGGGTACATCAAGGCGTGCGGGAACTGGATGTTCGTCTCAGGAGCAGTGTGCCGCGCTTCGGGCCTGCAGCGCGTCCGGCCGTCTCCGTCGATCCCAGCCATCGTGTCGCCCTCGAGCGTGCCGTTGTCGGCAGGATCGGTATCCAACGCACATAGAGGGTTATCATACGGATCGAGAAAGACCGCGCGCCCTCCCAACCACCCGGGTGTAACCCTTCCAAGACCGGCGCGCCATCCATCGTTTCTTCCGGCCTGCTCGCCGCAGACGGGTTCGGAAGGAACTTTTGCCTTCGCGACAGGTCCTTCCGACTCTTCCTCCGGCACTGACCTCTTCCTCCTTTTTCTTCTTTTCAGTGTTGCCGCGAGACTCCCCGCGCTTCGAAGCCGTAGCTCCCCACTGCGTCCCCGCTGATGATTCCTAACCTTCTCCCGAGGGCGGCTGCGCGGGGAGAGCACCAAAGACTAGGCACTTGAACCAACACATGTTGACATACATATGGGTGTCTTCAGAAATCGCAAGACAGTAAGCGCATCATTTTTCTTCCCAGCCATCCTATGGTGTTGGATATTCGAATTGAAGAGACAGCGCCCCGCATCCTTCCAACCTCCTCTTCCCCCTCCTTCCCATTACCATAATCATCATCATTCGCATCATCGTCATCATCATGAACATCAGACTGTCATCATCGCCACCATCGTCAGCTCGTCGTCGTAATCATGCTCGTCATCATCGTGATCCTCGTCATCTTCACCATCATCGTCATCATTATCGCCGTCACCATGATTTCGGCGCACCCTTCACACAGTTCGCAACCCCATAGGGAAATCCACCCAAATCCCCAATGGCAGCGTTCCCATGCGTCCGCGTTACCAATTCCGGCACACTCTTCACACAGCTCGCGGCCCCAAAAGGAGCTCCACCTAGGGCCCCAAAGGCCACTCTCCCATGCGTCCGCGCCAACCATTTTAGCACACCGTTCATACGGTTCGTGGCCCCATAGGGAGTTCCACCAA